GACTACTTTTACAATTCGTGCTCGATGCATAAACATTCGTTGTGCCAATAAAATCCCCAGATTTAGTGAGCACGGGTTGCGTCGGCGTACTAACGAGAAGGGCGGAGCCGAAGTTCTTTTGGCTGGCAGCATATCGCTCGTCAGAGGCTCTTTCAGCCACAGCAACGACCGATTCCTTCCTTTACGAAATACTTCAACTACAAAAGCATTTACTTTTCATGACGTTACTGCACGACAAACGATTCGACATCAATACAGACTTGGGATCCGCGCTTTCCTAGCTCACAGTCTCGAATTCAGTTGGTTTACTCGGAACGAAGCTTGCGGTAGCCCTTCTGGGTAGCAACGCCAGTGTTAGCAGCTCCCGTTCCGGTAGCCGTAGCCCCAGCGCTCGCCGTCGCGCCGGCACCAGCCGTACCACTCACTCCCCCGTTGGCAGTTCCAGTAACACCGCCACCGACACCAGCCCCAACGTTGCCGCCAACACCTGCACCAGCGATGCCATTCACACCACCGTTAGCCGCTCCGGTAACGCCGCCGGTGCCGCCGACACCAGCTCCGAGACCAGCACCACTGTATCCGTTGCCGACACCAACGCCGCGTCCATAGAGTCCGGCACCACCCCCAAGACCAGCAGCTCCTCCGAGACCAGACGCTCCTCCAAGACCAGCCTCAATGCCAGCCCCGCCGTATCCATTGCCGATTCTGGCACCGCGTCCGTAGAGTCCGACACCTGCACCCGCTCGACCACCTCCGTACAAGCCGGCACCGGCACCTCCGTGCAGAAGTCCGAACGTCTGGGCGGCCTGTTCCTCCGCATATGTGCTGCTTAAGAGTGCGACGACAGCGAGGCACAGGGCGGCAATCTTGCTGCTGCTGATCATCTTTTTCGGTTGTGTCTTCTTGAAAGTCTTCGGTGTGCTTTCGAGCTGTAGGATGTGAGCTCGAGTGAAGAGAATTGGAAATGAGCTTCAGAGTGCTCGGCATCTACAGCTTCAAGATTGACGGTGAGGGAAAATCTGGTAGGTAGCAGGAGGCGAGGGGCAATCCCAATCTCCATATTAAGTCTGCTTATGAATGAACATTCCTTCATCGAGTAGATCGAGTTGTTTTATTTTACACAATCACAAGTCAACAACGCACATCTGATCACATTGTTGATCGGTTCGAATAAAACAAGACCAAGGAGACGACATTATTTACTCAACTAAGCGTACTGCTACAGACCGTTACCATAACGGATATACACCCCCGCTTTCTCAATTTTTTCATGTACAGGGCAGCCAACCGACCGTCCACAAGATTATATCTGCGTTGATAGCCAACGTTTAAGCTGGCGACATCAACGCATTCTATGCCAGCCACGACGCCGCACTCATGTGGCTGTCGTTCTGGTATTAATAAGTGAGCTAGCCCAACATGCAGCATCTGGTACAGCTACTAAACTACTTTTTTCACTCATAATACCGGATTGATTACCTGCCAGAATATACTAAGGTTTGTACTGAACAAGTTGAAGTGACAGCTCTCGGTTGGTCATCACGACCAATGCGAATGTTGAAAAGTGGCTGGTCATTATCGAGGCAGATTGCCCCTCGCCTCCTGCTACCTACCAGATTTTGCCTCACCGTCAAACTTGAAGCTGTAGATGCCGAGTACTCTGAAGCTCATTTCCAATTCTCCCCTCTCGAGCTCACATCCTACAGCTCGAAAGCACACGAAGACTTTCAAGAAGACACAATCGAAAAACATGATCAGCAGCAGCAAGATTGCCGCCCTGTGGCTCACAGTCGTCGCACTCTCAAGTAGCACTTGTGCGAAGGAACAGGCCGCCCAGACGTTCGGATTCCTGCACGGAGGTGCCGGTGCCGGCTTGTACGGAGGTGGTCGAGCGGGCGCAGTTGCCGGACTCTACGGGCGTGGTGCCGGGATCGGCAACGGATACGCTGGCGTTGGGGCTGGTCTCGAAGGAGCTGCTGATCTCGGAGGAGCTGCTGGTCTCGGAGGAGCTGCTGGTCTTGGGGGTGGTGCCGGACTCTATGGACGCGGCGTTGGTGTCGGCAACGGCTACGGTGGTGCTGGTCTCGGAGCTGGTGTCGGCGGCACCGGCGGCGTTAGCGGAGCGGCTAACGGTGGTGCGAGTGGCAACGCTGGCGCGGGTGCTGGCGGCAACGTTGGGGCCGGCGTCGGTGGCGGTGTCGCTGGAGCTGCCAACGGGGGGAGTGAGTGGAACGGCTAATGCCGGCGCGACGGCGAGCGCTGGGGCTCCAGCTACGGGAACGGGAGCTGCTAACACCGGCGTTGCTACCCAGAAGGGCTACCGCAAGCTTCGCTCCGAGTAAACCAACTGAACTCGAGCCTGTGAACTAGGAAAGCGTGGATCCGAGTCTGTATTGATGTTAAATCGTTTGTCGTGCAGTAACGTCATGAAAAGTAAATGCTTTGTTGTTGTTGAAGCTCTTCGTAATAGAATGAATTGGTCGTTGCTGTGGCTGAAAGATCCTCCGGTGAGTGGTAGGCTGCCAATTAAAAGGCCACCAACCCCGCCTGTCTCGTTAGCCCGCCGACGCAACCCGTGCTCACTATAATAAATCTGGGGATGGTCGACAGATCGCAAGTAACAGTGAGGTTAGTCGCATAAGCGAACAGCCTCTTCTCGATTGCTGCATTGTCTTGACACTTGAAGCCGAAATACAATATGACGGTAGTTTGGCGAGACATTTCAAATACATGTACACCCTTTTAACAGACGCTTAAGCTCAGCCTGAGCAAAGCTTGCGGTAACCTTCGTATGGTGTTTGCAGCCCCAATTCCTACTCCGTTTCAAAGTTAATGAACATTAATATTCCCAATTCCCACTTCGTGCTTACTTTTGTGCCCGTACTCGCGCTGCCGTTAGCAGCTCCGTTTTAAGCGTCACATACCAAAGCCGTAAAGTCCGTCGCTATACCCACTCGACCAAACCCGCTCTGTACAAGACTGCACCGCCGTGCAGAAGTCCAAACGTCTGGGTGGTCTTCAGCGAATGCCCCGCTAGAGATAGCGACGACGGCGAGGCACAAGACGACGATCTTGTAGCTGTGCTCACTACTGGAGAGCTCTTGGACAATAGGGACAGCCTAGCTACTAGTTATGATTTTCTAGTATTGCGATTGAAGTCTTGTGGTTTTGCTTGGCGACGACGACACTCGTAATTATCCCATACTGGTAGTACTTGGTGTCGGAAATGAATCTGGCTGCGTTGATGTCGTACTTTCGATATTCTCGAGATCGGAGAGAAAACTTTCGTCATCGAAATTACTCGAGAAGATCTGATGGGTGTCGAACCGAACAATGCAAAGTCCTTGCTCTACCCTCAATTTTTTCTTAGCAGATTTTGCTCACACTGCCAGGGCGTATTGTGTTGGGGTCACGGTAGATTGTACTTGCTTCAGCTACACGAGAGCAACGCTCTTGCTACTGAGCTGCTCAATATAACGCTGCTGGGAATTATATATTTTTTCGTCTTGCCAACGCGCTCAGGATGTAAGACAAGGGCGGACGTCGTTCTAACCTCAGAGCGTATTGGGAAGGCGTTCACCACATAAAAAATAAGCAAATCCTGCTTTTTGCATATTTTAGAGCATCTCGCTTCTATATAAACAGAAACCTCAACAGCAAGGTGGGGAGAAGCCAGTGTGTGATGCTTTGCATTGCACAAAGTATTTGACTTACCGATGTCAAGAACAAATAAAATGTGTCTGTCCAGTGACTTCGAAGTCGTATTCCTCTAGAAAGGAAGGGTGCACCACTACTGATCCGATGTGTGAAAGCCCACATTAGAATGAGATTCGGCCTCAGTAGACACCACAAAATAGCCGCCAGTATACACTTTCACACGTAGAAGGGCCAGTGCGCGTTTGCACGACGCCGAGCACGCTGCTGCACAGCAAATCATGGCTTTTGTTTCCTGTGGGCAGCGTGTCTTCATTTGGCTTGCGCAAGCCGTACATCAACGGAGAAGAGAAAAATTGTCATTTTAAACGACTTAATTCAGTAAATCTGTGTCCTAGTAGCTAGCTTTTACATAGTCTTCGTGAGCTGAGAAAGCAGAGACGTCCTGGCTTGGTTGGCCTTGCTGGCATTGAAGCCACCCTTGGCGAGCGTCTCAATCTGCAGCAGGATGGAACTTGGCTTGTGCTGCTTGATATGCTGGGCGACCTTGTAAAGGTAGTGCAGCATATATATGCCGCAATCTATCGCATTAGTCTGGCGGGGCTTGCAGGTGTAGGAAAAAACCCTGGCTGCCTCGAATCTCCCACGGCTCGTGTGTAGAACCGCAAACCACCAGTCCAGACACGCGAAAATATACTCCTTGTCGTGACCATTATGAAGCGAGTCGATGTGATAATATATCTTTTTTGCGTCACTGCCATTCTGGATAATTACAACGCTCCAGTGGTCGTTAAACGCCACAGATATTTGTATCCACTCCAATCGAAATCACCAATTGTGTCGGGGGCGCTGGACTCCCGACCCGAGTGCTTGACGTAGGCGTAGTTAATGGCGGAAAATACAGCCGATCTTGCAGGTAACATTAGCTCTGGTTCGGGTTTTGTGTAACGAGAGATACAATAGTCAACCACGGAGCTAGTAATCGGAGCTCTTTCCTTTACGCTGGCGATGTCATCAGCGAAGAGTGGAATCGAGACAAGCTCTGCGGACCTACCTGCGGCGTGGGGGTAGATGCGTACAGGGGCAAGTAGGTTATTTCGTGGCCGCAGGCTGTATGGGGCGGCACTCTGTTGCAGGAGCTTGGTGTCGGGATCTCCAGTTGGATTTTCAAGGCAAAATCGAGGCTTTTTTCTCTTTTCTGATTCCACCCCTGATTCAACGCTAGCCACTGGTCCTGGGAGCTCCAAGTCTGATTCTAAAACTGATGCATCCAATGGAATCGGAGCGGAATCTCCGACTGATTCCGGGTTAGGGCCTTCGCCTGATTCGCAGAGAGCGACATCTGATACGGGGTATGATTTGTCTGCATTTGCATCTCCACTTGTACCAGCTTCCACGTGTAGCGCAGGATCACCGGCATTAACAGCAGCTCTTGCGGCCCCAGCCTCTTCGCTACCGGGATCGTATCGTTTCATGAAGCGTCTTGCTCGCGATCGTTGCGTTTCCTTGTGTATTATGGAAAATTCAGGAATAGTTCTTAGGTATCGCAGGAAGTCTGCGTAGTGCACCACTCCGTCCTCCCGCAAACTTCTGCGTAGTACTCCAAGGCCTGAAACTCGTAGCTTGCCAACTTGTACGGACGCCCCGCTCCCTTCACTCGATAGCGCTGGCCATCTTCCTCTGGTGGCTCCAGCATGTCCCAGTATTTTCTCTTCCAAGTAAGGAGCTTCGGTCGGGCGATTCCGAGATGGCGCACAGCATCCGCAGTTGACCACCCGGGGTGACGCTTCCAGGACTGAATGGTCGCCCACTGGTCCCTCACTCTCGTCTTCTGGGTCATTTCGTTAGCTCAGGGGGTGCCGAGTGGGAAGAAGTGAGGAAATTGAATGTTTCTTTAAAGTGAACCGGTCCGAAGAATTTTTTTATAGTGAGCGGTCCTATTCGGTTAAGTACTTTAAATTTCTAATACTATCACACAATGTAGCTCCTCATAACTAAATGACAGTGCTAAAATTATGTGCCAAGTTCTAGATGGGCTGCGGTTCACAATAATGCGATCTAGTCAATTTATTGTGGACTGAGAGTTCACAATTAAGTTACACTGGCACGTAATTATGAACTCTAATGTTGACAATTATTTAACAGTTTACCTTTATTGTGAACACTTACTTGTCCGTACGACAACATGTACTAGTAGACTAGCAACTCGTAACAGAGGTTTGTTTTACCGAGCGTGATGCCACGCTTAGCTAAGACTACAGCTAGTACAAGACTTGTTCACGAAAGAATTCAAAGCAATGTGTCATACAACTAAGAAAATGTTATTCGTATGCTGAGCTCACCGTAGTACGTATTGAACATCTAGCGCTGGGGATGCTAGCGGAGGTCTACCACGCGTATGCCTCAAGGGCAGGGCCACGGTTGGTGTCAGGTATTGAGGGGTGATGCTCCACGTATCGTACTGGTAATTACCCGGAAGGCGCGTATCCCATGCCTCGGGGTTTACTCCCACCGCACCCGCACTCCAAATCTGGTTGGGAACGTAAGAATCTAGCATAAGACCCGAGGGATAGCGTATCGGACCGCAATGCAAATGATCCGGGATAGCTAAGGATAGTGCGGGTAAACCTCCCGGCAATGTCATCTGAGTCCTCTGTACATTGGCACCAAATTCTTGATCCGACCTACCTTGACCTTGTACATTTCGTCGAATCCGTCGATCGTTAAATTTTAGTTGGTATCCGTTGACGCCAGGAACGCTGAGACCGTACGCAGCGCGACCGCAAATAATGTGCGCGCACAGACAAAAACTTTTCATAGTAGTAGCAGAAGCACTGGTTGGAGTATGTTCGCACCACCCACCCCTCTCTGGGCATACCAACGTGGTGGACTCGACGCACTGACCACTTAACATCAGACCTGTAAAAGCTCGCCGGCTTTTGTTTTTCCTCATCTTGAAGGCACTCGGGGGAAATTAACGAAGCGAGACGCTCACTGCTGAGAGGAACGTCGTCTGAAAGCGACGAGATGTCATTCACCTCTGTAGGGATCTCTCGATCATCGCCAACATATAAAACACGTACCACCGAAGGCGTGGGGGTAGCGTAGATAGCCACCCGACTCGTTGAAACCAATACTTTTGCCAATCGTGTAGCCTCCTTGGGCGGTGTAATTCGACCGCCCGCTACAGACGTGGGAAGGCATATAGAGTAGTCTTCCGTTATCGTCACAAGTTTTAGCAGCAACCTCCTTGTGTCACACGCCTTGCGTTGTGTGTATCTCTTTATGCTTGCGTTGAAAACTTCACAGGGATTGTTCATAGTTGCAAAAGCCCCCGGCGAATGAAAAATCTGCCACCGCCAGAAGCGACTAGCGATCCATTGACTGTAGAAATAGTTCGTGAAAGTTTCTAGTCTTCCGTCCAGGAGCCATTCCTGAGAAATGCGATTCCACTCCAGATATAGATGGTCCCTGCTAAGCGTGTAGTGCATATCTAGAACTCCGCGGTACACAACAGCTCGAAGGGCTGCGGCGAGGTGCTGCATACGCTTACGTACGTTGTATAGTACGTGGAAAAAGCACATAAGGTAAATGCTGTTCTCAAACCCACTGATAGCAACTAATCCATTTACTTGAGCCTTCTCCGCGTCTCCCATCACAGCATCGATACGCAGTGCCACACCCAATC